TTTGACATACGAAAGTAACTTTTCAAAATTTTCGTTTTTTCGTTCTATTTTTTTCAAAAATACCTTTAAAAAAAAAACTGAAATGAGGTTTCGATCTTGACACGTTTGTTTTTAAGGGACAATTCGAGATTTTTGATTTACACTTCCGGTATTGTTAAAAATAAGCCAAATATTTGCCGAGTACCCCCGGGGCGCGTTGGCTAATGCAATACGCTATGTATAAAAAGCAACCTACCATATCGGCGAAGTGTAGGTTTGTTTTCGCGGTTACTTGTCACTTAGTTTAAGTATGTTTAGGTGTTTTTAACAAAATTTTAAAGTTTTGGTCTAAAACTTACAAATAGTAGATTTCAAACTACGATTTTAATGAGAAATTACAAAAAAAATTGAGAGAGTGCCAATATCACAGAATATTATTGAAAAAGCGATAGTTGAAGTATTGCTGAATAAAAATAGCATTCACGGAATACCCAGGAACCTTAATTTACAATATACAATAAGATTAGAAACTGTAGATAATAATTAGCAATCATTATTCATTACGCCCCGGGAGTTATCCATTACGCCCCGGCTCGGGCCGTATTTTGGAGCTCTGCATTGCTCTAGAAAAACTGTTGTAGAATAAAAAGTAAGAGTCATATCAGGACGTTTGTAGTCTTAAAAGAAAGCTGAGATACCAGAGTAACTTTTCTGGATGATAAACATTCAATTAGAACAAAAATGTTCGAGTAAAACAACAAAGAGTAAAAAGTTAGCCATTACGCCCCGGTCTCCCCTATCATTAAATCGCAATAATAATCAACTATTTTTATTAACCCCTAAATTTTTCATCTTTTCTAAATTTTAGAAGCTGATGATTATTTCTTACAAAATTAAAAAAAAATCAATTTTAAGTATGGAAATGTTAAAATATACAAAGCATTAATAAAAAATGGTGTTAGTTATAAAATAATTGAAACTAGTAAATAATAATGCATTACATAAGTTTAAAAATAAACCATGCCAAAAGTTGAAACACATTACACAAATAAAGTTTTGTTCTCTCTCATTTTCTCTTATTTTCTCTCTTTCTATTATAAGAAATATTGTTGAAACTTCTGTTTCTATTTACTCCGAATTTCGAGTTTTTAGGTGTAAAAGAAGCAGTCTTCTATTTTTAAATAAAGTATGCAAAATGAAAAAATCAAAGTGGATTTTTGTTTTAGTATTAATAAGAGATAATTATAAATTTTAATATGAATTTTTAGTTAATTTTTTTCCGAATGCGAGTCAAAAAAGTGAAAGGTTGTCTTCTTTGATTTTCAATTTTTTATGCAATTGAAAATATCTTTGTATAATTATTATTTATTATTTTCCGATTTTCTCCAGAGAAGTTAAACACACTTGAAAATCGAGAAAATGGGCAAAGTAGCAATTTTATTTTACACATATTTTTTATTTTTCGAGAAACTGGAAGAAAACTTTTATCCAAAACTGAAAGTTCATCACAAATTCTTAATATTCCGTAAGTTTTTACCTAATTTTATAATCCCTTTTCCTCATTATTTGTTAATAAAAATCCCAAAAATAGGTTAATTTAATGATGAACTTTGGAATAATATTTTATTTATTATTTTATATTTTTAAATGCTTATATCAATTTATAATAATAAATTTATACATTCTAAACAAATTCCAATAATTTGTATTATATTTTTGTACTTGACAGTTTTCAGCATTTCTAATATTTAAAATTCATATTTTACAAAAGATATAAAATTATTTTTAAAAAATCTTTTTATTTTGTGATTATAGTAGGGTAGAGTGGGGTAAAAAAGCCACATTTTTACTTTTGATGCTGTAAAATCTGTATTTAAAATTTTTTTCTCAAATTTCCAATTGTTATTGAAAGTTTAGTTATTAAGCTTGAAAATTCTTGACGGAAATATTTTTTATCTCATGAAAGGACTAAGTTATAGGAGTTTTACGGAAGCACTGTAAGTGGCTTTTTTGCACCACCTGGTGGGGTGAAAAAGCCACCCTACGATTTTAGCAAAACATGTTATCAATTTAGGTATTTTTATAGTTTCCCTTTATTTATATGACAAATAGTCTTATTTGAAAAATATTTTAATAATTATGAAAGAGTTTTTAGCAAGCAAAATTGAAAATTATATAGAGTTTACCTGTTTTCGATTTGCACTGCCAATTTTTCGTACCTTTTTTAGAAGTTCTCTTTAAGTTTCACCACAGATAACATATTTCGTTGCAACCGTTTATTCATTGTTTATTTTTTTAATGCACTTTGAACTACTTTTTCGTCGTGTTTAATTTATTTTATTAAATAAACACGAGAAATTTTGTAAAATAAGAAGGTTAGTTTAAATAGAAAACAAGTGAATTTCACAAAATATTCAATGGATTTTTTGCCCTGGCTTTTTTACACCCAAGACTAGTTATTAAAAAAAGCAAAAATAAATTGTTAATTCAGTTCAATTTCCAAAAATTAACATTGTATACGTTTTCGGTATACTTTTCTCCTTATGTACAAACATTTATTTTTATTATTCGTTCACTTAATCAGACTGTAATATGTTTGAAAAGTTCACCAAAATGTTTTCAAAAAAGCAACAAAAAATTAAAATTACAATAAAAACAATATTAATCTAGGTACAACATTCAAACTAGATTCAAAAGTTGCGTATTACCTAATAGTATTTATATTCTAAACAGCTGATAAATCGGCTTAATAGTTTTTAAATAAAACTCAAATGGCTTTTTTACACCATGGCTTTTTTACCCCACTCTACCCTAACATCAGTATCATTCCTGTAGAATATTACAATTTTTTAAAATTAATCGGCGATCACTTTAGTTGAAATAACATGGTTTGACCCCTTAGTTAATTACTTTCAAATGTTTCCGATTCTAAAAAAAACACCTGTTAAATATTTTTTTGTTGCACGTTAAAAATAATTCGCAATTTTAAATAGTTTATAACTTTTTGAAGACGAATCATTTTATCTGTCCACTTGCATATTTTGAAAGCTTATTTCTTAAAGTTTATGTAGCCAGAGTTTTAATACTGTGCTAAAAAAAAATTAACAAATTTTTTCTCATTGAAAAGTTAAAGGTTCTAGAGATATGGGCGAATCTCTGGAACTTTTAACCTTTATGTCCCTCACATTATTTTCACTTAAACAGCCTAAATATAAAAACTAACGATTTTGAAATATTTACATGTTTTTAAAAAGAAAATAAGGATTAAGATTTAACCATTGATATAAATTATTTTGTTTATTTTTTCTATGTTTTTCTTTATTAAAGTTCACAATACCATGAGTTTGCAAGTGTCACTTTCACTTTTTCTAAAAGTATTTTAACTGTTTAAATAAGATTTTTTTGGAAAACACGTTTTTTACTGTTATAAACTATATAAAAATATCTTAAGAATTCCATAAACAAACTTAAAAAAAATTAAAAGTAAAAATTATGAAAGATATAATCTTCTAAAAAGTGTCCCTCAGTTTTTGTGTCGCTGGTCAAATCAAAATGGTTTTATAAAATAAACTTTTAAAAACTAAATGAAAAAATTTGAAATAAGAGGCACAATTGAATAGTAATTCAAATTTTATGTGCGTGATTTTTATTTTTATTTTGAACTATCTAAGCAAAATAATTGTTGGATACTTGTGATACTGGTGTAGTACGAAAAATATGTCGCTGGTCAAATCATTAATTTCTCCAAAGTTTCTTATTTAATTTGCTCCAAAATTGGGGCACATATTACTTTAGATGTATTTAAAACTGTGCATATGTTTTTATTTATTCTAATTCTTATTTAATTATTTTTTTTACGTGGATATTCAAATTGTCGCTCGTCAAATATGTCGCTTGGTCAAATCAATAGTTTTCCAATCAATCTGAAGTTTTGCATTTATTTGTTTCGTGTTATTTATCACGAAGTAACCAAAAATGTAATAAAAAGTCACAAAATGAAAGAAAATCAAAGAAAAGAAAATAAAAAGCGAGAAAAAGTAAACGTGGAATGAAAAATTTATCAACGGAAGGCACTTAAGTAATATTTATTTATTTTTTATTAAACGTTCATGAAACTGTTAGTGTTTTTTCAAGGTTATATTAAGATCCTCGATATTTCTTCAAAACAAATCAGCCAATCAAATAATTAGAAAATTTTATGTTACTAATTCAAATAATTATACGTAAAAAATTTTCATTAAATTTTTTTATTGGGATTTTGTCCTTATTAGTTGTATTAGATGTTTATTATATTTATTTTCATGTTTAATTATGTTTTTGTGATACTGAGAAATAACTTACTTAAGTGTAGATAACATAACATAACATAACATAACATAACATAACATAACATAACATAACATAACATAACATAACATAACATAACATAACATTATTTTCTTTCCAAAAATTTATATTTTAAAATAGAAGGCAACAAAATAATGGTTGTACAGTAATTAAAATGAAATTTATTTTGGTCAAAGATGTAAGACCAAAAATATCAAAATTGTGCACACAAAAAATTTTTTTAAAAAATTAAAATTCGAATGTTAAAGTTTCCAGAGATTTGCCCATATGCCCATATAACTCAAAAAATATTGCTTATTTTCATTTTTTGACAAGAGAAAAAAGTTTTTAGTAGTGGTTACCATAGTAACGGTTGCTATTGTAATGATTATTATAATATAACGGTTATCATAGCAACGGTTGCTATGGTAATGATTGTTATAGTTATAGATTGTTATACCATAGCAACCGTAAACATAGGAACCATTACCATAGCAACCGTTGCTATGGTAAACAAACATTTTTATCAGGGAAACAATATTAAAGGGCCTAATTCTCATTGGAAGATAATTATTTTTCATTGAAAGTAAATATTTTAATAAAAGAATGTCGAATATTTTGTTATATGTTGATATAGTAATTATTAAAGTAAAGTTTTCATTCTTAACATTGAAACTATTTTCCTTTCTTTTTAGCACTATCCAGAGATTCTGGACGAAATTTACAAACAAGGTTTCGAAAAACCCAGTCCAATTCAGTCACAGTCATGGCCAGTTCTTATGAGTGGCATGGATTTAATTGGAATAGCTCAAACCGGAACAGGTAATATTATTTTTAATTTAATACCTAATTATGAATGTTTAATATTTGTTTGTTATTTTGTTAATATCGAAACAACATTAATTAAATGTTTTAAATTCAGGAAAAACACTAGCCTTCTTGCTACCGGCTTTAATTCACATCGACGGACAAAATGTTCCACGCGAGGAAAGGCCAGGACCAAATGTTCTTGTCTTGGCTCCGACTCGAGAATTGGCCCAACAAATTGAAAAAGAGGTCGGCAAATATTCTTATCGAGGAATTAAAGCGTAAGTTGTTTATTTAATTTTTTTGTAATATTTTTCTTTATGACATTGAATAAATTTTAACATTTTCTTAAAGTTTTGATATAGGTGAAATAAACTTTTGATATTTTTGTTACTTCTTTTAATTAAAATAAATATAAAACTATCATAAAATGATAACATTATTAGAACAATTATTTTGTTTATTTAAATTAATTAATTCCATAACTAAACGAATATTTAATTTACATTATTTTCCATTTTTTCAAATATTTCAGTAGAAAATAAATTTCGTTCATTTGAACATCTTCTTACTTTCTACTTTTAAAAGTACAAAAAATTTGTATTTATATGGGCATATCTCTAGAACCTTTAACTTTTCAATGAGAAAAAATTTGTTAATTTTATTTGAGCATAGTATAAACTATTTAAAATTGCGAATTATTTTGAACGTGCAACAAAAAAATATTTAACAGGTGTTTGTTTTTTAGAATCGGAAACAGTTGAAAGTAATTAACTAAGGGGTTATAATTTATAATAATAATTATATTATTATACTAGGGGGGGGCTTCGCCCCCCTGCGCGCTTCGCGCGCCAACCCCCTAACTATTTTTAATATTTATTTTAATTTTTAAAATCATGTTATCTTAATATGATGGGATAGTAATGGGTACCCGACCATTCCCCCGAATCACATTCCCCGAATGTACTTTTTCCCGATGACCAATTCCCCGAAAACCATTTCCCCGAATCTTCAAAAAGGACAGTTCCCCGAAAACTATTTCCCCGAATACACAAAAAGGACAATTCCCCGAATATTAAAAAAAAACCTTTCCCCGAATGGAAAAAAAAATTGTTTCAGAGAAGAAAAATATATTTGTTCAATTATTTTTACAAATTGATTGTGTTAAAATAAATGCGAATTTTGAAATTATGAATTTGTTATAAAGTTTACACTTCGACGGTATGCAATTTTTAAGACATCACGATATTGCAACCAACTGCATACAAATAATCTTTCCAACCCTGTGCGTCATAAGTGCCATACGATTCGACAATCGCTTTCAGTCTTCTTTGGGCATCCAACCATTTTTTTTCGGTGCTGCTCTGATTTTGCGGCCCAGGGAAAGTTCAACTAGTTGGATCTCAGTGGTTGGGAAAAACCATCCTGATATATTTTCCGTAGTGAAGGACTACGGAAAATATATCAGGATGGTTTTTCCCAACGAGAAGACGGAAGCGATTATGCCACCCCTCGCTTGAATTGTTCGTTTTGCTTTGGTTGGCCAATATTGAATCGTACTGGTTCCAAATTAGAGGATGGTAGCGTGGTGATACTGCCCGTCTGCGCCCTCTAGCAGGAGCTCCAAGTACATATGTTTGTCCAAAATAGACAAAAAAATCATGCAAACTGTCTGGCCTTACATTCTTTGTCCCTCACTTTTTTACAATCCCAGTAAGTTTTTTCGCCCCCCGTTTGTGATTTTATATATAAAAATCCATCTATTCCTAATCTTCTTTCATTTATCAATTCAAATTCGTAATTCATACTGTCAACTTTGAAATTTTAAAAATACGATAGGTTTTATCAAAATAAAAAAGTAGATCTAAATACGTGGGTTATGTCAATACAGTCATTTGTCTTTTGTTCCATACATTCATCCTTCTTTTTAAATATTTTGATAAAATAATTTTTCGGGGAATTTTTTTCGGGGATATAGTTCTTCGGGGGATTTTTTTTCGGGGAAAATAATAGAAATCCTTTTTCGGGGAATCGGCTTCGGGGAATTTGCATTCGGGGAAATATCAATTCGGGGGATTGTATTCGGGGAAATGACCGGGAATCTAGTAATGAGTTAGAGTAAATTATAACAGGAGATATTAAAAAAGATAACTAAAAGAGAATTCTACTTTACGGAAGTGATTATAGTGTCAACTTTTTCAAGTTTGACACTCCTCATAGTAAATTTGATAATTCTTTTTTCTCAGTGTCAAAAGTATTATTGGGCCCCTTTTTACCTGCAGTTGACATAAATGTTGACGTAATGTAAGGGCCATTAGGGGCTGTCCATAAATTACGTAAGTCATTTTTTGGGTAAATTTGACCCCCTTCCTCCCTCGTAAGATATTTTACATACATTAGCGCCATTTTTCCTATTGTTCGCAAGATCTTGCTGACCCCCTTTCCCCCTAAATGTCTTATGTAATTTATGGACGGACTAAAGATTTCGACGTAAAATAATAGACGTTTGTGGGCTTCATTTTTACCCGTAGGTCAAAACTGACCTTAAAATTGACCTAAATTTTAAGAAAATATCAGATCAGAGGGAGATTTCTGGTCAAATTTTAACTTGTAGGAAAAAACTGCCATTAAAATTAAAGTACATTTTGAGGACAGAAAAATAATTTTAATAGAATTTTAAAAAAAAATATGTCAATTTATAACATCTTTTATTGATTGAAACATAATATTGAAATTTAGGTCAAACTTCTTTTAACCAATAGGTCGAAAATTCCGTCAAACTTTAATATAAGGGTACGACTTTTTAAAAAATCCTAATTAATTTGCTTTTTTCATGTATAGGCTAAAAAATATGTCAAATTTGACCTAAATTTTAAGGAAAGGTCAGGTCAGAGGAAGTTTTTTCGACAATTTTTGCGGTGTAGATGAAAACTGACCTTAAAATTGACCTAATTTTTGAGGGCAAAGGGAATTGTTCGTCAATTTTTTCCGTTAAGGTCAAAACTGCCCTTAAAATTGACCTACATTTTTAAGGTAAAGGGAATTGTTTGTCAATTTTTTACCTCTAGGTTAAAACTGCCCTTCAAATTAACCTAAATTTTGAGAGCAGAGGGAATTGTTTGTTAATTTTTGACCTGTAGATTAAAACTGCCCTTAAAATTGACCTACATTTTGAGGTCAGAGGGAATTATTTGTAAATTTTTGACGTTTAGGTCAAAACTGCCCTTAAAATTGACCTACATTTTGAGGGCAGAGGCAATTGTTTGTCAATTTTTTACCTGTAGGTTAAATCTGCCGTTAAAATTGACATAAATTGTACGGGCAGAGTAAAACGCAATTTTTAACGCTTAGGTCAAAACTGCCCTTAAAATTGAACTAAATTTTGAAAGCAGAGCGATAAGTTTGTCCATTTTTAACTTTAAGTCATAACTACTCTTAAAATTGACTTAAATTTTGAGGGCAGAGGGGTTAGTTTGTTAGTTTTCTACCTGTAGGTTGAATCTGCCCTTAAAATTGACCTAAATTTTGAGTAATTTTGGCCTGTAGGTTAAAACTGCCCTTAAATTGACCTGAATTTAGGTCAAATATAACTTGTTTCTGACGATGGACCTACCTTGACAGTGGGCCAACCTTGACTATGTTCCCCCTACTATAAGGGTCCCTTAAAACTTTCTGAAACAGCGGCGGCGGCGATATGATTTTATATTAATAGGGATAGATAATATATTACTTTTATATTTATTATATTATTACTAGTCATTAACATTACTTTTCTTTTATTTTTTGTTTGAATTACTAAAAAATTAAAATGGTTTTTATTTTAAAAATAGATTTTAATTAAACTGAATTGTAAAAATATGAAATTATAATGTATAAAGTTTACCTTGCAATTTCCAGATACATTTTATTTAAATTTAACACTCATAAACTTTCCAATTTCTATTCATTTTCTTATATTTTTCTTTTTGGGAGCGTTCACAAATGATGTCACGCAATTTTTCGGGATTTTAGACTCCTCCTCCCCCCTGTCACGCAATTTCATATGTAAAAATACATTGTGTCACGTTTAGGAGAGACCCCCCTACTCCCAAAAACATGACATCATTTGTGAACGCTCCCTTTTCTTACATCTTATTTTTTTCAGAATTAATTTTTTTGGATCATTTATTCTGTGTAAAAAAATTAAAATAAACATTGAAACTTAACCTTCAGTTTTATTTATTAACAGTTTCTATAAAGAAGTGAGAATCGACAACTTCATACTTAACAATTTCTTTTCTAAAAACTTTTGGTCGATTACGGTTGACCGTAATTGACAAATATTTTTACATTATCTTTGCAATAAAGTAGGTATTTTTTCTTGAAGCACATTCACGGGATGTTAAATGGCACATGCGAAAATATATGGGTGATTCTCCAAAAACCGGTCACTTTTAAGTTGATAAAAATTTTTTTTTTAATGTTTAAAAATTGAACTTTCTTTTATTAACTCTCTGCTGATGCTAACGACCGTTATCGTCAAAAATCGTCATTCTGGGCGCCTGGTGGGGACTATGGGAGTTACGTGCTTTGGCGATAGAGTGGGGATAAGTCAGCATCAGCAGAGGGTTAATTACTGTTCATTGGTATTTAAATAAACTATATTTGAAGTAGGTACGCTACAAAATTATTTAAATTTCACCAGGATTATTTTGAATTTTTTCACGTCGCTCTTTTTCGACATTTGCTTTTTTCTGTTTGTTTAATTATTCTTTTATGTTAGACAATCCATATCAACTATATTTATTTTAAATTACATTTATTAATAAACATTAGTTTTCGTGTAATTAGCACTTTTCGCGTAATTGAAATGAGATGTGAAAAGTAAACAGGAAAACTAACCTCATCAGAGGCGTATCATCGAGGGGCACTGAAATTCATATTTCTTCTATATAGGTATTATTAATTTGAATTAAATGATTTATTTTTATCATTTTTAAAATTATAGGGTAAATGTGGGTATTACTGTGAATGCCCCAATTACTATGATTTCGAATAAAAGGAATGATTTACAATATTTTATAATAGTAAAATTTTTTAAATAAATTTTTAAACTCTATTTTTTATATAACTTATATAATTTTTAAAAAATTAACAATATAAAAAAATGTTTTATCATTTTTATGTTAATTTGAATCTTGCATGTTACAAAAACTGTTAGTTTTACTGACAAAATTGATAGACTGGCTATGAACACGTTTTCGAAAACCTATTATATTATTTGCTGTGAATATAAAAAAAA